GTGATTTATAAAGGAAAGACGCACAGAAACATGCGTACGCACGGTTTTATAAATCTGAATTTTTTTATTTTTTTTTTGCGTACGCCATTTCTGCCTTTTGGCCGTATGTTCACTTTTAACATGGTTTCCACGCAATCCTTTATAAATGAGACCCCTGAACTTTTCTGTAGTCACTTTTATATTAGTTGTCTCAAACACAAAAGTTTATTTTTCTTTAAAAAAAACTGCTTTCTGTATTTCTCTAAGAACGACAGGAGCCACATGTCTGCTGGCCTTCAGAGCAGCTTCAGATTTTGGATTAGGATGTGGGAGGGCGAGTTCAAACAGTACTGTGGGGGTACCCTGACACACACCGGCTGCCTCGTGGTCACCGGCCCGACCCTCGTGGTCACCGGCCCGACCCTCGTGGTCACCGGCCCGACCCTCGTGGTCGGCGGCGTGCATCGTGCCTGTGCTGGGCCCACTCTGAGGATGGCATGGCCGCTGCCTCCACCTGCTCTGCCAGTGTGACCTGTCTGTCAGCAGCAGCCAGACACACACTCACTGCAGAGATATGAGCTCCGGGAACACTCAGAGACTGCTGCAAGCTCTCACACAGACAGGAGTGTACACTTACTGATAAACTAACCTGATAAACACACACGTCCAGCTTTCAGTGCTGACACACTTCACAGCTTGATGCCTGATTTTTGCATGTGTTTGCATACATTTATTTACATTTGTGCATGCAAACACTTCGGAGCATAGGCTTACCTACATGTGTTTTTAATGAGGTTTTCTTTCTTCATTTAACCAAGTAGATGTCTGTTTCTATAAATATCAGCGCACAAATAAACTCTACATATTCCTCATTCATCTTCGTCACATTGTCTGTTTTGGCCCGACAGTCTTGACAGATATAAATGGAGCTAAAAGAAAGTATTGCATCACATTGTTTACTTAGTTTGCTAATGATTAATTAATTTTTTTTCTAATTTTTGTGCAAAAGACACAAAATAAAAGCTATACAACTCCATAGCTCAGTAGGATCAATTTACAGCGGGTAAAATAAGTATTGAACACGTCACCATTTTTCTCAGTAAATATATTACTAGAGGTGCTAATGACATGAAATTTTCACCAGATGTC